AAGTTGTTCAAAACTGACGATTTCAGTTCCTTTGGCATCATCTTTTAATTGTGATTCTGCTTCCAGAATAACCAGGTTTTCCATTTTGGCAGCCAATGAGGCAACTGGCTCCAAGGCAATTTCTGTAGCCTGCTCTTCGAGTACTACTTCTTTTTCAAATGCAGTCGTTTCATGAACAACTGCCGGTTTTCCTTCCTGTCCTGTCAATATAGACGAATTTTCAAGCATAAACGAGTCGTTAAGGATTTCTTGCTCGATTTCACAGTTTGCAATGTCTGTTTGTGCGACTTGCGCTACGGTAACAATTCTAGAAAGGTCATCGTGAAGCTGATTGGTGACTTCTGCTACGCGCTGCAATGCTCGCTCGCTCACCACAGGAGTAATTTCGGGTGCATGATCCAAAACCAGTACTTGTAACGCAGAAAGAGCTGTCCGTAGCTGCTGCATCAATAAACCTTGCTCACTTTTAACAGCGCCGCTTATCTGGTCGCTCGGCTCCGCAAGCACAATATTTAAATTAGCTACAATACTGTCACGTAACTCGCTCGCTACTTGTACTGACTGTTTAAACTCTTCAATCTTCCCTACTTCCGATAGCTTGTCTAACGCTTCCACCAATTCTTCCGATAGGTATTCCTCAAGATGGTGCAGAAGTGTATCTGTAATAGCGTAATTTTTTTTAATCTAATCAATCTTATTATGTTAATGGAAATGTAATAATTTGTTTTAAGTTTATTAACATATGTTTCAAGCAGAAATTTATTGGGAAATAATGGCTTTATTGACACAGATTAGTTATTTATTCACAACAACAGTGTCAATGCAATGAACTTGTTTATTTTGTCTCACGTTGTTAGTCATCAATTGTTACAATTTTACCTTTATTTTATCCTGTTGGCATTGCTTGGTTAATATAAAGCTATAACTTATATGATACGACATTACCAGTTGGCGGCGCTGAAACGTCGATCGCTTTTACTGTTTTTGTAGAATCCTTTACTTCATCTGCACTAATATCGTCATCAGTCAATGACGTTGTTAGTGCTTCCGTATGAGAAGCTTCGAGATAGACATTTTCATCCAAAGATACTTCAGTTTTCAGCGGAACATTGTCGATGACTACGCATTTTGTTTCATCTATTGCAACTTGTTGCTGTGTAGGTATAAACGATTCCGTAAGTACTAATACTTCTGAGTTCAACTCCATTGTCTTCACTTTACTCACTTCTACACATGCAGTGGAAATCATTTCGTCTACTGATTGTTTCATTTCTACAATGCCATCATTGTCAGTACTGTCCATAGATGCAACTTGCTCGGCTGTAGTTTCTGTAGCATCACCTTTAAGTTGTGGTTCCGCTTCTAGTACAACTACATTTTCCGACTTAGCGGCCAATGATGCAACTGGCTCCACGGCCGTTTCTGTAGCGAACTTTCCAAGTACGACTTCTTTTTCAATTGTTTCATGAAGAACCGCCTTTTCATCCGATTCTTTAAGGGTTTCTTGTTGGGTTTCACAATTTGCAATATCTGACTGTTGTAATACAACTTGCGCTGAAGTAACTACTGCAGCAAGGTCTTCGTGTAAACGAGTGGCGACTTCAACTACGCGCTGCAATGTTTGATCACTAATCGCAGTCGCGAGGTCGGGTGCCTGATCTAGAACAAGTACTTTTACAGTAGAAAGCGCACTCTGAAGACGTTGTGCTAACAGAATTTGTTCATTTTTCACAGCGTCAGTCACCTGGCCGCTCAACTCTGCGGTTGCACTCTTCTGATTAGCTACAATACTGTCACGTAGCTCACCCGCCATATGCACTGATTGTTTTATATCTTCAGTTTTTGCTGTTACAGACAACTTTTTTAACGACTCCACTAATTCTTCGCATAAGTATTCATCGATATGACGTAAAAGTACATCTGTAATAGCGTAATTAATTGTTTTTAAATCTAATCACAATTTAGTTCTGATAATAGCAACATATGTCTACGAATTTCATAGTTTTTGGAAATTTTAACTTATATATGTATATACAGTTAAGTTTTTATTTTTATTGTAAAAGTATCAGAGTAATGTATTTCTTAATTCCGACTGTGGCGTTGTTAATCGTTAAAATTCTTTAATCAGACCTTAATATAATCTGGTTAGCATTACGTGGTTAATGGCAAGCGACAACTTATGAAAATACAAAATTACCAATTATGAACGCCGAAACTTCGACCACTTCATCAGATTTTGCCGAATCTTTTACTTCGTCTTCACTAATAATATAGCTGGTTACTTTGTTATTATCAAATTCAAGATTCTCACTGTCTTGCAAAGTAGCTTCGTTTTCCAGCACAACGATAATTTCTTTCGCTTTGTTATCGTCGGCGACTGCGCTCTTTACCTCATCTATTGCAACTTTTTGTTGTGTTGGCACAACTGTTTCCGTAGGTACTAATACTTTCGAATCGAACTCCATGGCTACGCATTCAGTGGGAATATTTTCATCCACCATTTGTTTCATTTCCACTACAGTAGCATTATCAATATTTTCAATACAAGCAACTTGTTCGAAAACGACAGTTGCAGTTTCTTTGGCATCTTCGTTTACTTGTGATTCCCCTTCCAACATAAATGCTTTTTCCGATACAATAGTCAATGATGCAACTGGCTCCGAGGTAGTTTCTGTAACCTGGGCTTTGAGAATTAATTCATCACCCATTGTAATCGTTTTACCCGATTCCGTCGGTTTTTCTTCATGTCCTGCCGTAATAGGCAACGTATCAACTGTAATTTGTTTCTTATGCATTACTTGCTGTGTTTCATCATATGCGAAATCTGCTTGCTGCGCTGCGACTTGCGTTGCAGTAATGGCTGTAACAAGATTCTCGTGCAGCTGAGTGGCGACTTCTGCCACGCGCTGTAATACTTGATCTCCTATCACAGGAGCCAATTGAGGGGCATTATAGAGAACGATTACTTGTAGTGCAGTTAGAGCACTCTGCAACTGTTGCGCCAACTGAATTTGCTCATTTATTGCGATGTTGTTTAGTTCGCTAACAGTTTCCGCAGCGGTACTCTCCTGCTTAGCTGCAATACTATCACGTAGCTGATACGCAACGTGCAATGACTGTTTTAGCTCTTCAGTTTTCGGTACAACAGACATCTTATCTAGAGCTTTTACGAAATCTTCGGATATGTATTCTTCAAGGAGTTGTATGAGTGTATCTGTAATAGTGTAATTAAATATAAATTTAAAAAGGTGGCAAAAACTCAGTTATATTTGGGGCTTATTTTAGAATTCACCCTGTTTGCAATTAAATGGATGAGGCAGTATTTTGTTATTGTTTTTAAGCAAGAGTGAGATCACGTCTTTACGTAATGATACTTAACGATGTGAATGAGGATGGTACATATTTGATTCTCGCCTTAAAAAAAGTCCATATTGGAGAATTAACCTCCAGGCACAAAATTCTATGACTGACTTTTTTCTTTTTGGTCTGTGTATCAGACCATTTCCAGTCCACAATTAATCATTTGCGTAGAACAGAACAAGTATTTAAGAGACTCTGATATAAATGATATAAATGGGACAAATGGATAAAAAGGAGATCAATAATTTGCTGACCGGGTCTATAATTCTCTTGACTATTCGTATGGATCGTGAGTTCAAAAGTCTAAAATCATCTTGAAAAGACCAAAACACATTCCGTACGAAGAAGGCCTGCATATGAAGCTTGTATTATAGTAGTTGTATGTTAGTGTAATAAATTAACTTATTAGGCGTGATAATTTGATTTCAGATATGTTAAAATGCCGTAGTTTATTCTTTTACTTATAAAATTTTTAGTCATATATCAATAAAAATACCTAATGTAAATTATTTCAAAGTCTTTTGATCAATATCATTAGATTAATGTAATGCAATGACTTAATACATAATTACCAGAAGTCGGCGCTGATCTTTCGATTTCTTTGTCAATTATAGCTGTGTCCTTAACTTCATCGTCATGTTTTTCCACACTCTCGTTGGTTGCTAGATGATCGGTATCCTCTCGAACGTCTTTTACGGGAATATCTTCTGTGTTTACTACAACAGCAACTTCAACTATTTTTTCATCGACGATGAATTCACTCTTACTCTCATTTACTGCTTGCTGTCTAACAGCTGTTTCATCAGAATCTGTTAATACCGAGTCCACTGCAACGATCCTTGGACTTTCTTCAACTTTAGTTTTTTCTATCAACGGTGAAATGGTGTCTGTACTTTCCATGGAAATGCCTTGTTCAAAAACTTTTGGTATGGTTTCGGCTATATTTTCCGTAAGTTGTGATTCTACTTCTGCAATAGTTGCTTGAGTGGCTAAAAATGCTACTGGCTTATCAGCAGATTTGGTAGCCTCCTCTTCGAGAGCTACATCTTCTTGAACTGTAACTGCTTCCTCAAAAACCATTGATTTTTCGTTCTGTTCGGTGGACCTATCTACAATACGCGATTCCTTGAAAATTGTATGTTCCGTCTTATTTGTAATATCCGATTGTTGTACAGCGATTTGCGTTGCGCTAACAACTGCAGTTAGTTCCTCGAACAGCTGAGAGGCGGCTTCAGTCACCCGCTGCAACGTTTGATCGCCTATCGAGGTCGCAAGCGCTGGAGCGTGATCTAGAGTCAAAACCTGGAGCGTCGTCAGAGCGCTCTGCAATTGATGAGCTAAATGCGCTTGTTGGGGTTGTGCTCCAGCATCACTTGACTCACTACTCATTACCGTGTCCAATCTATTACAATTAGTCAGAATGCTCTCGCGCAGTTCGCACGCTATGTTTACGGATTGTTTCAACTCCTCAACATTAGCTACCTCTGCGAGCCTGTCAAGAACTTCCAATAATTCTTCTGAGACATATTCTTCAATATGTTGCAAAAGAGTTTCTGAAAAATTTTGATCGTAATCAGCGTGACCTAGGCATAAATGATGAGATGAATGGATAAAAATAGGTGATTTATGCGTCAAAGTACTCGTATACCGTGGTTTGATCTGAAAACAACTTAACAGACTAGTTGCGATTTTGTCAATGAAACTATAGAAAATTTAATATTTTGTGTCAAATGCTCAATGTCTCGATTTTTAAGAAATATGAAGCAATAATAATATGCACAATTACCGTTTACTCCGATACTCTTTCCTGTTGTATTAACTTTACTGTCATCAACAATTTTCTCGTTTGCTGGTTTTAAAATTATTCCTTGCATCGGTGTTCCATTCGTCACAGTTGCATTATCTATTGTTTCCACATCAATTAAGTTTTCTTGTTTATCTTTCGACATTTTATCTTCGGAATGAGTCGCTTCCTCAATTACATACGTGCTATCGATTGCAGTAATTTGTTCCTCAACTGCTGTGCCTCGTATAGCAGTTATGGGCAGCAATTCTTCTCTCACTATTTCTTGGTCTGCTAAAGCCATAACTGGTGTACCTTCCTCCTTAATACCCTGTGTAACTTGTTCTTTCATTATTTTTTCTTGTACGGTTTCGTTTACTGTTGCGATAACAGTGTTGAGGTCTTTGTCAAGCTGAATTATAACTTCAGCAACCCGTTGTAACATTCGATCACCGATTTCATATCCAAGCTCGGAGACATGTTCTATAGCCAGTACCTGTAGTGTATTTAAAGCGTTCCGCAGCTTCTGTGCCAACAGTACCTGCTCACTTTTCACTAACTCACTCAGCTTGCCACTTGATTCTGCAGTCGCTATCCTTTGATTGGCTGCAATGCTCTCACGTAGCTCGCACGCTATAGGCACCGACTGTTTTAGTTCTTCAGTATTTACTATTACTGACAGTTTATTTAGAGCTTCTATTACGTCCACGGATGTGTATTCATCGAGGTGTTGTAAAAGTATTTCTGAAATGGTTCAACTTCATGTAGTGTTCCATCTCATTTGGTTTATAAATGTTAGTAAATATAAGTGTTTACGCTTAATCGTCGAATAATAAAACATTGTGATTACAAATTTTACTTATTGGTGAATTATGTATACTTGTAACAAAAAATCCTAATTTTATTATAAAGTAGGAAGTTTAGGGACACAAAATTAAGTTAGTTCCGAGTTAAGAGAGTTCAAAAGGCAATAAATACATCACTTAATAGGTAAATAGATTTTTTTTGTAAAGATATTCAACATTCAAAATAGACATATATTTTACGTTTTTGCAAAACCACTCACTTGGGAATATAAAAAAATTAACTTACCATTTAAGTTTATACTTTCTTCAATTTCTTCTTTTACTGAATGCTGTTCGGTTCCACTGTCTGACCCAGCAGGCCATATTTTGTTGATTTCTGATTCTACTAATACTTCTTCGTTAGAAACTGCGTTAAGTGCATCATTCGCTTTAACAGCAGCTTCTGTAGAAATGACTTTTTCTTCAATCAATGTCATTTGTTCTAAAGCAGGCCTAGTAGAATTCTCAACATCTATTTCATGTGTAACCCGTAATGAATCAATTCCTTGGGTTAAAACTTGATCTAGAACTTCAGTAGTTTCTTGCACTTGAGACATAAGGGATTCTGCTGCAACATTTTCGTTCACCGAATGTGCAGCAGCGTTTGCATGTTCAATAGGTGCGACAATATTGTCTACAATTTCAACGTTTTCAAGGACTACCGTTTCAGAGCTTTCAGCAATGCCATTCGTGGAAATAGACATAACTCTTTCTATTCGAGTGGGTTTGTGTAACGTATCAAAAAGTCCTTCTTCCTCTACCATAAAATTACCAGGGGCTTGAACGGCAACATTCATCCCAGTGACAGCAACTAAATCGGCTTGCAAATGAGCAGTAACACTAGCAATACGTTGTAATATTTCTTCTCCGATTCTCGGAGCCAATTCTTGAGCACAATCGTAAACTTCAACAAGCAAAGCTGATATCGCTCTCTGAAGTTTGTGAGATAAATGAAGTTGCTCTGAATTAATTTCGTGAACTATGTTTCCTGTTTTGATTTCAACAATCGGTTCCGTAGCTGCGATACTTTCTCGTAATTCTCGGGCAATATTTGCAGTTTCTTGTAGGTTTTCAATGTTTATCACTGCAGATATTTCTTCAACTATTTCTATCAATTCTATGTATTGCTCGATATGTTGAACAAGTTCCTTAGCCTTTTCTGAAAAGCAAATTAATGTTATTAAGTAATTGGTTATGGACTTGATAGTTATGATTTCAGAATGATATTACCTACACTACGGAAATAAAGCAAGAACAGTAACGTATTTAACTTCAAATTGTTTAACAGTGTCCATAATTAAACAGATAGTATTAACCATAGTGATTAAAATTAAATGACATATGACAGTTTTACATGAAAATTGTTGTGAAAATACTTTTTGCGAAGACAAAGAGCTATCACTAACGCCAATTATACAAAGCCTTCTATCACTCGTGAACTGTATTATCACAAAGCACAATAAGTTCAAATACGGTGTTAAACACACTATTTTTTTACCTTCATCTTTAGTATCTTCAATTGTTTGCTTATTTTGTAATTGGTTATCAACATGATTAAGCTCTGTTAAGAGCTGATAAGCTATAAGAAATATCCGTTTTAGTTTATCAGCTTCTATAGAATTTAGGCTCTCCATATAATGATCCGTATTTAACCAATCAAACCTCGACAGACTGCTTTTAAGCGAAAATATATTTTTGTTTTTCATTGCGACTGTTTTTGGTAAGAACAGTTCTGCAGGACTGATTGTCAACAGACTTTTCAACTCGACAGCGTGTTGTATACTTTCATTTACGTCAATGCTTTTCAAAAGTTTAGAGGCAGCCAATAAATCAGTTTCAATACTTATGAATCTTTCTAGAGCACTTTCCAGGGAATCAATATTGGAATTGACATCTATAAAAAATAATTATATTGATATATGATTTTAATAGTAATAAAGTGAAAAAACATATTCTTACCTGTTGGAAGTTTGCCTTCACTTTCGGTAGTTACTTTCCCAGAAGACAAAATTTTGTGAAGGGATTTTTCTATTTCTTCTATCGGTTTGGATATTTCCTTCAACTGAGGAGCATGCACGTTTTCCATAGAGCGTATACTGTTTTGTATTGAATGTATTTCCTTGTCCATTTCCGCTATGAGAGATATCTCTTCGTCGTCCACAATAACTTTTTCAGATTCAACTTGTTGAATTTCTTTGTGTATTTCAGCCATAGTCTGTACTAGAGATTCGGTAGATGCTAAGTCAATAGAAGCAGAATCTTCTTCCACACCTGATATAATTTGTTTTTGAACGTTGATTAGCTGGCCATGAAGTGCATGAAGAGGTTCAAGCATTTCTGTCAATACTGCCTTGAGAGTACTTTCTTCAGTCTTAACTTCTATTGCTGTTGTTTTCTTCTCTAATATTGTTTCTTGCAGGAATTCAGAACATTCAGCAAGACATTTTAGAATAATTAGTGTCTTACCAGTGCCTGTAGCGTCCTTGTATTCTGCATGTCTGTGCAAACATGTCAGTACTTTTTCCATAACATCTTTTGATTCTACACCCAGGTTTTCAAAAGTTTGGTCTTCAATGAAAAATATAATTTCATCCATTTTGTCCGACAAAATTTGGTCTTCGGCATTGGTACGAGGACTAACATCTTGTAACTCATTAATAACATTAGTTTCTAAATTTTTTATGCAAGGTTTAGAAGTTTCAATTACTTCGTCAAATTTTTTAGCCAATAATAATATTTGAGGAGATATTTTTCGTTCTGGTAGTGATTTCAGTACCTCCTTGGCGTCTTCAATTTTTTTAAGAGGATTATTAACTAATACTTCTGATTGAGATTTGACTATTTTTATCAAAGATTTTTGTACACTGCTCAAGCATTCATCAGCATGAATCAGAAAGGTCGTTAAATAACTGTCTATGTCGTCGCATAGTGTAAGTTCGTTTCTCTTTGTTCTAAATATATTTATCGTATTTTGCAAGGAATTAAATTCTTGAAGCAACCTTATGACCTTTTTGTGGCTTGGCTGCTTATTCATCAAACATCTTAAAATAGTAAATTCATTTTTGCACGTCTTAAAGAAATCTTCTAATATCATTAAATCCGCTACAGAGGTTTCTTGAGCAGAATCTTGGGCAACGTTTACGGCATTCTCCACAATGTCACCCATTTGCACTAATGGATCGGAATCCAATTCTATTGCTAACTGTGGTGATGTGCAAGATGTGATGTCAGAAACGCGCGATAGATCAACAAATTCATATTGCTCTAAAACGGCAATGTTACTTTCAATGTCATCTATAGTTTGAATAAGTTTGGCTTCTTCAGTTAACTTTTCAGGATTTCGCGGAGTAAATTGTATTATTTCTTCTTGGACAGTAATGATGTTTTGATAGAGTTCTTCCGTTATAAACTTAACATAATCAATTTTAATCCCTTTTGATACATCTGTAGCGTCGAGTAGATTATTCACTGTTTTTTCTAATTCAAGAACTTCTTGTTTCACAGGAGCACCGTAAGACACAGTTTTAGTAGTTTTAATAATGCTCTTTAAATTTTCACACACTTCTCTTAACGTTTCCACTTTATTCGATATTTCAATTGTTTTATCAGCTGTTTCCATAGCTGGAAAGATAACCTGTATGCATTTACCCAACTGTTTCTTAAACTCGTCTATAGTTTTTAATACGGAATGTAATCTTTCCGTAGTTACTTCTAAAATTTCTTCATATATTGGAATGTTACTAGTATCTAATACGGACAAACTCTGATGCAATTCTTGCATTGGCTCAGCTATTGCTGTCAGTTTTGATGTATTTATCAAATTTCCTATTTCACTTGAAGGCTCCATGACAACTGGATGCAGAATCTCCTCAATTCCAATATGTAGCTCTCCCAACCCTAAAGCAAGAGTCTTGAGACTTGAGAAATCACTGACTTCGGACAAAGAATCTAATGCATCTAGAACTTCTGGAGTTTGTAATATTGTAATGTGGTCATTCAAAGTCTGTAGTGCTTGTGCAGTGGCCGACGACACTATTTCCTGGTCCATTGGTTCCAAGGAATGCTCTATCATCAGTTGTTCTGCAGTTGGTAGAACTAAATGATCAGAAGGCATTGTGTCGGCTGTCGTTTTTATACCAGAAATATCTTCCAAAGTTGACATTTCGTCCACGCCTTCTATTCCTGCCTGATCCTGAATCATTACAATACAACTCTGGAGGTTTTGTACAGCATTTGCTATGCTGAAGCTCATCTTGTAAATATTTTCATCTTCTTGATACTGAGAAATCACGTCCTGTTGAAGTATCTCCAAGGTGGTGTGCAACTCATGCAGAGGATCGGCAATAGTAGCTAAAATACTACTGTTTTGTTTGAAACTATCCAGATTTTCCACTATTATTTGGTTAAGAACTTCAACATTTTGGTGTAACTCACACATGGGAGTGGCTAAAGTTTGAGCAAATGACATATCTGTTAAATCAGAAACGTCTTCGTTTAGTTCAATTCCACTAGGTCTTGTGGAAGCTATGCGCTGTTTGAGCTCTTCTAATATAGGACCGATAGTTTCAAATACCGGCATGAGTGCAATTTTCATTTCCTTAGTCGTCTCTAACGATTTTACATTATTTATAGCTGCTATCGTATGTTCTATGCGTTCAATAACTACTTTAGCTTTCGTGTCTTCATACGTTGGCAAGGATATATCCCGAAGATATTCAGAATCTAACTGAATACTTAATTCTTCGGCATGATTAATTGCTTCTTGCACACCAACTAACACATCAGCGATGTTGTTAAGAATAGAACAGTTCAGTTCCGATTCAAAAACATTCCTGACAAATTGTTCTTGAATTATTCTCAAAGTGTTGGTGAGACTAGCTAAAGATAATACAGGATCACTATCTACGTTCTTTATTGAATTGTTCAATCTGTTAACAGCATCACAAATTTCCATAAATGTAAAGTATTTTCTGGCATCATTGCTCTCAATGACGTTTTCAAGGACCTTAGTTAAATTCTTATGAAACACATTTACGTGAGTTTTAACTTCTGGTATAGTCTCCAACCTTGACAAGTTATTTTCTAGCGCAATAAGAATTTGTGCCATCTTTTGAAGAACTTCCAATTTATTGTCGCTTTGCAAAACATCAAAAATACCAACATCAGACTCAATTTTATCTATGTGCGAGGATATTTCACTCAAATTTTGCTTAACCGAAACCAAAGCTTGTTTTAACACTGCTCTGTCCTCTTCGCTTCTACTTTCAGTCGAAAGCTGTTCGAAAGAAGCTCGTAACTTTAAAACTGAATCCATTACAGTTTCTATTATTTGTGTATTATACCTTTGCAACGAGGTTGTTGATTCTTTAACCGATAGTGACTCGATTTGTTCTAAAGCCATTTGCAAATCTTGAATAGAAGCAGACATATCGGTAAGTATTACTTCGCTGCTCTTTACCTTTGCAACATCAATGGTTTTACCACTATCTGCACTTTCAGCTATGCACAAGAGAGAATTGAGGGGACTTCTTAATTCGAAAACTGCCTTTTGAGTATCTCGTAGATGTTTGGATTCAAAAGAAGGTTCGTCGGTTTTGACTTCACTTGTTTCACTTAATAAGCTTCTGGCTTGAACTGTTTCTGCTGAATATTTCACAATGTTTGTAATTTCTTTGGATAAGGAATTTATTTCATTAAGGATTCTGTCTTCCGTCTGTAAGTAATCGTTCCTCGTAACATAACTAATGTCTGACATAAGTTTTTCCATATTACTTCCACAATTTTCAATAAATGCTACACACGTTTTCTTAACTAAAGTTTTATTGTCACTTTCCACGTCAACACATTTTTCAACAATTGTCAATGACTGTTGTAACACTTTGAGAGGTTGAGGTAAGCTGTTAAATAATGTGCTGCTAATTTCTTTAGATTCTGCTACAGAAACTATAACCGCATCTACTATGCTATGTATTTTTGATAATGGAGTTATTAAACTGTTAATAATTTCCAAACTTCTCGATGCAGTTGCAGCAGACGACATCAACTCAGATTTAAGTATAATATCCCGTTCTATAAGCTGTATTTCATTGATAACTTTTGATATAATGGAACTAGTGTTCATCATCTTATTTTTGAAGTCATCGTCATTTATCTCAGGCTTTTTAGAAAATGCTGACTCTTGTGCTGATTCTACAGAATCAATCTTTTTCTGAACTGGCTCTTCCCTTGATCTACTTAGTGACTTGTCACTACCAGAACTAGATCTTCTAGAACCGCGACTACGGCGGCGTTCTCGTTTAGGCCTCACCGCAGCAGGATCGAAAATTTCTTGAGTAACAGTTTCTGTCACTGGTGTCTGAGTTACTTCTATTTCCTTTTCCAAAGATTGCTTTGAGACCTCAGTGACTGGTTTATGTACCTCCAAAGTCTGTTTTTGAAATTCTACTTCCTGTTTCTCAATTTCATCTTTAGATACAGTCGTCTTTGCAACCTCATAGGATTTAGCTTCTTCGTCAGAAGGTTTCGATAATTTGACTTTTGCTGAGCTGCGCGCACTCGCAAAACTCTCTGAAATTTGTGTGTCGTCATCTTTCTTTTCTTCAGAAAGTGATAGTTCTCGTGACACACTGAAAAAGTCGTCCCCACTTTTCATGGAGTCTGATTTCTTCCGCTGAGGTTTCTTTGGGAAATCTGCTCTTTCATCAGAAAGTAAAGTCATCGTTTTCTCCAAATAATCTTCACCACCAAAATCAGTGTCCAAAGACAGCTGTGGCGCTGCATTTTCATCTGCGATAGATATATCTTCTATGTCGGCTTCTGTTCTCAAGTCTTCATCAGCAGAAGCAAAGTATTCTGGAGAGACGTCAATAATAATTGCCTCCATCAATAAATTTCCAGAAGTTGAAGTTTCTTTGACAAATCGCAAAGGCGGGAGCTCTACAACATTGTGCTCAGTAACATTTTCTGACAATTGATCTGCATACATTTCCACTATTTGCAGAGCTTCTTCTTCAGTCAAGTCGGGAGTTTCATAAAGTGAAACCGACACTTCTTTCCCATCAAACGAGAAAGATATTTCTCCTTTGTCGTCCAAAGTGATGTCACCAACAGGTGTGTCGTACATTTGTGACGTTCGTTCCTCATGAATCGTACTAAGAGATAAATTCCGTTGCAAGGCTTGTTCCTCAGCTATTTTCTTTTTAGCTTTCATTGAATCTTCAATTCCTAATAGGGAGGCTGAGCTGGATGCGATACCCATGCAGTTTTGAGCTTCACAAGTGTAGGTACCCAAACAGCATGTACCGTCCTGGCCTGATATTATTCTGTGGATGTCACCCGGTTTCAGTTCTTCTCCGTCTTTGTACCATTTTAATACAGGTTGTGGTACCCCTATAACTTTACATTCGAGATTAACAGCTCCTTCGTCAGATAAGACAGCTTGTAGATTTTCTAAGAAACGAGGTTTCTTATAGTGCCTGGGTATAATAAGTTTGAGGAAACAGGAAGTGACACTATGACCGAAGTCATTCGTCGCAACGCATTTCCATTCGGCTTGGTCAAGGAACTCGAGATTCTGGATGTCGAGATAGAAGATTCCTTTTTCTTCCCTACCATGGTGGCATCGCGAACACTCGTCGACGGGCTGGTCGTCTCGGTACCATAGCACTGAAGGCGCGGGTGGTATTGCAACTGTAACAAAATACAACAACACTCCTTTATTCCTTATTACAATTCCTAGGTGAAAGATACGCGCGTATTTTCACATTTACCAAAATATTACTAGAGAAAAACAAACTCCCACTATTTTATTGTACGGACAACGGCCCATCAGGCTACACATTTTTGTTCGAAAATCGCCTCCAGTGCAACGGAACAAGATACGTTAATGTGTAGCTAGATGTGCTGGCGTGTGTACCAATGGATAGGATCAATGATAAAATATCTCCAATAAACATTTTTTTAATAATATCAAGTGACGGGACTAGTCATGCGCCTGATAGTAAGCGACACGCCTGTCTATAACAGTTGCAGTGCCACTCAGAGCTATAAATCGCAAAGATCTGTGGGCCACGGCCACTGCGCTCGTCACCCAGAGATATAAGTTGACAAGCCCCGTGTGCCTGTAATTTCACCAACATCCCTTCAAAAACTTAACCTAACTTTTTATTTATTATTTTTAATTAAATCACTAACATAGCTCATAAGGTCATTGTTACTAACACATATGGATGTAAATCTGAAATAAATGTATTATTATTATTATTATTAAATCTTCGACCAGAACTTGGTCGAAATGACATATTACTACTCATAATAGCAGAATATCCACTGTTTACCTTAAGGGCCGATACAACCTCAAATAACTTTAGTTAATTGGTGAAAGTATTGAGTCAATCACTTGGGAATAAAATATATGTACCTATAGTCAAATTGAGGATAAACTCGGATCAGTATAAGGTGTGAAATCCCGATTACTAAACATTTTCACGACAGAAAAAAACAAATTTACCTCGAAGTTTTACAAGATAATATTAGTACAGAGTACTAAAAAAATACCTGAAAAGTACATGGAATTATACATAATTACCAAGTTTTATTGAAATCGGTTACCGGAAAGTGCGCAAACCTAGATTCATCCCCTAGATCGCCACTATACGTGACTTGACACAGGAGATAATAAAAATCGGTTTTCGTTACTCAAAGTATATTGAGAGTGAAAAACGAAATAAACTAAAATAATTGCTCATTATACTAAAATTTAGGCGCTATTTATAAAAATGACTCTTCATGTGTGAACCTATGTGCCACCCTTAGAGGTGGATGATTTTTCATCAAAATTAAATGGGACCACTATGGAAGTACCCTCTTTCCAACAAAAACGAATCATGAAAATTGGTTCACAAATACCGGAGTTATCGCGTAACATACATACAAAAAAAAAACATACAGTCGAATTGAGAACCTCCTCTTTTTTTGAAGTCGGTTAAAAAACCACTGTGTTCCATAGGTAATTTACATTATCAATGATACTATGCACATGTGTACGTATACTATAAGATATACATTTTTCAGATAGTTTTCATTTCGTTTGTAAAAAAATGAATTCTGAAATAAAGCCAGTATCCCTGCTGCTCGATCCAAGCAAACTTAACCGTATTAGTACGGGGTATTCGAGCTGAGTTAGTGTCGACTCCTAATAATAATTTCAATGTCTTTTTAGGTACAATAGCATTGACTTACAAATAAATGGACGACGGGTCTAATACAAAAACCACGAAAAAAATGTCCCAAGTCAACCTATTCCAAATTTAAATTGTAATGTCATCGCAGTATCGCGCTGTCAGTCGAACCAATGAAGACTAAAGCGGAGTTTGGCGCTCTGTATACGATTTTAGCGCCTTACAAGTGCGGACACTTTTTAGCGCGGACCCGACGGCGACGTCCATATAATTGTAAGTCAATGTACAATAGAGACAATTAGATAGTCTGCAATATCCTGTTTACTTTCAAGTAAAATTAGCTGTCTAAGCGTTTAAAGTAGTTCCCCATCTTATAATTGGTATTCCCCTTCATATACCATTATTTTTATCTACCCTATAATTTTATGCCTATTATATAGGCATAAACCATAATATTAAGTAGTAGTAGAGCTTCTTGTGAAAGAGTTCGTCTAGGGAAGTACTGCCAACTTATGTCTCAGGGTGACGGGCGCAGTGGCAGTGCCCCTCAGACACATACGATTTAAAGCCCTGATTGGCAACTGTTATGGACAGGTGTGTAGCCTGATGGTAAACAGGCGCACGACTTGTGCGTCCCGTCACTTGATATTATAATAATCTTAATACAGAGTACTAAAAAAACCGACCTCAAAAGTACGTGCAATTACATCTATTTGCCAAGTTTTATTGAAATATCTCCTAGTTCGCCACTATACAGGACTTGACACTGGAGATAATAAAAATCGGTTCTCACTACTCAAAGTATATTGAGAGAGAAAAACGCCTTGAATTGGAGAATAGCAAAACCAACCGTTACAATAATTGCTCCTTAAGTAAATTTTAGGCGCTATTTATAATAATCTCAGTACAGAGTACTAAAAAAACCGACCTCAAAAGTACGTGGAATTACGTTTATTTGCTAAGTTTTATTGAAATAGTATACAAGACTTGATATTGGAGATAATAAAAATCGGTTCTCACTACTCAAATTATATCGAGAGAAAAACGCCTTGAATTGGAGAAATAGCAAAATCAACCATTAAAGTAATTGCTCCTAAATTAATGTTAGGCGCTATTTATGAAAATGAATTTTCGTGCGTGATCAGCCACCCTTGGAGGTGGATGATTTTCTTCAAAATGAAATGGGACCACTATGGAAGTATCCCCTTTCCAACAAAAAAATAATCATGAAAATCGGTTCACAAATACCGGAGTTATCGCGTAACATACATACAAAATAAAAACATACAGTCGAATTGAGAACCTCCTCCTTTTTTGAAGTCGGTTAAAAAAGAACACGATGTCACTATTTATTTAAGTGTACTTATGTTAAATATATCGAGTAGGTACCTTTGATAGTAAATCGGAATTGTTCATCAATTTTGGCTTCAATGCTTTTAAGGCCTTGCAGGAACTTAGGTGCCTGGTTTTTGGAGAAGAGCTGGAGTTTCTCCTCCTCGTTAAGTTGGTTCTGGATATCTTCTACGGTCAGTTCTGCCGAGCTGCTCGCATGGCCCATACAGTTCTTTGCTATACAGCAGTAAGAGCCTGTAAAGTAAATGATTAAGAAGGCATTTTATAAATAGTAGTCTGCTTTTAAAAACTTTACTTTTAAATGAAGTTTTCATCTTTCTTTAGCAATATGATGAGAGCGATTATTTTATTTTATTGAGATAAGGTTTTGAGTTTGTAATACTTTAATTACGTGAGTGGTATCGAAGACACTTCCAACTTTATTCTGAATCTTGAAGGAGAACTAAAACATATAGATGTGAAACTTATACAAGTCATAATTATTAATACAAAAATCGAACACTAAGACTTATTCCTTCGATCCCACTGGATTCGAAGCAGCGGCTTCAGCATCCCGTGGCTGACGTTCTTCCAACTAATCTACGGAACGAAACGAGAGAACGAGACCCTACGAATTGTTCTATGTACTTGTTGCATCAGTGTTGGGCAAAATTAGGGCGATTAGGGGTGGATTAGGGGTGGGTTAGGGGGTGGGTTAGGGGGTGAGTTATGGCGTGCGTTAATTTTAGGATTTGGGTTGGGGGTTAGGGTTTTGGTTGCGGGGTTAGGGGTGAGTTAGGGGTGAGTTAGGGCCTGGGTTGGGGGTGTTAGGGGGTGAGTTAGAGCCTGGCTTGGGGGGTTAGGGGGTGGTTTAGGGGGTGAGTTAGGGTTTGGATTGGGGGTTAGGGGTGATTTAGGGGTGGGTAAGAAGGTGGGTTAGGGGTGAGTTAGGGGTGGGCCTGCCCAAACGGCCCAAACGGCCTCTCAACCGGCCCCCCAACCCCTTTCTCTTCATATCTTGTACAGGTAAGAGATTTTTTTAATAACCTTCTCACGGCAGAACGACAAATGGACGAAATTTTTTCTTTGCGTTCGGTCTTTGTATTCATTATTTATTTATTTATTATATGGACAACTAAACAGATAACAATCAAATTACATTGATATAACAAAGTTCTGTACTAGATTGTAACCCTAATTATGTTGACACATCATTCTAAAGTAACAAGAAAGAACTATTGTAAAATTGCTGATAATTTACTAAAGCGTCAAGGGAATGGGTGAAAATCTATACAAGTGCAAATTGCTTTACTACTCGTTTAAATACTCTGGATCTTAAATCAAAAATGTCCATAATAATTCAATTAACTTAATTAGACTTATTATAATGTTAAATTATAATTATCTTTTTCATTTTCGTGTTGTTTTAGTTGTAATAATAACGCACACACTCAACATAGCCCCGCACTGGGGAAACCCTGTGTCGCGGGTGCCATGGACACACATAGACAACCACAAATTACACCTAAACTCACGAGAGAAATAAATGTAGGCCACACAAATATTTCTCCCGGCCCGGGAATCGAACCTGGGACCTCTGCGTGGCAGTCCGGCATGGTAACCGTTCGGCCACAGAGGCAGTTAATATTGTTTCACTGTTACCTATCAGTACTCCGAAATGACAATTTCCAGAAATGACGTTTGCTCGAATTTTCATAACCTCGAAAATAATTTTGAGAGGAAAATGTTTTTGCTTTTAAACCTAACTTAATCTAACCTAACCGAACCGAATCGTGTCTTTACTATAAACATCCAACATATCCTGAAAGAATAACAGTTTCGTTAGAATTCGGTTTTCGGTGTAATAAAAATTCCTTCAAACGTTATTTCGGAAAAAAATCGAGTTTGTGATAGATTACCTTGTTTCACTTATTGAGCTTTTAACTTTATAAATAATACTTTATAAATAATTAAAAAATATGTACTTTTAACTCAGGGATTAAATGATGCACTTTGTTCTCGCTACGTGACATAATTAACGTACTTTTAGAGCATGAGGAGCAAAAAGTGTGTTACATTTCCAGACGTTGTATTTGTAGTTACGAGTTTCAATTGTTTGAGCTTACCCAATGAATTTGTTCCGGTGAGCTGGTAAACATCACCCGGCTTCAGTTCCTGACCGTCCTTGAACCAGCTGAGAACTGGCGTGGGGAAACCCACCACTTTGCACTCGAATGACACCAAGCCCTCCTCGGTCAGGACAGCTTGCAAGTTCTCCATGAAACGAGGCTTGCGGTAGTTCTTTGGGACTGTAACACCAATATCAAAATCTGAAAATATGTTGTGATAAATAAACTGTGCCTAATTGAATAGTATATTTTTTTAAACGAACAATATACCCGAGGTGGTGAGACACCCGAGCCTAGGGTACTATTGAAATTACAGGTACATGGGATTTGTCAACTTATGTCTCAGGGTAACAGTGAGCAGAGGCAGTGTCCCTCTGATCTTTGCGATTTAAAGCCCCGAGTGGCACTGCACCTGTTATGGACAGGCGTGTCGTTTAGCAACAGGCGCACGATTTGTTCGTCCCGTCACTTGGTATTATAAAAAAATATTGGATATTTAAAAATCTTACAATTTGTATGTCTGTGTAACATTATTTTTAACCGACTTCAAGAAACGGCATCTCAATTCGACTGTATGTTTTTTTTTGTATGTTGTTACGCGATAATTCCGGTATTTGTGAACTGATTTTCATGATTCTTTTTTGTTGGAAAGAGGGTACCTCCATAGTGGTCTCATTTCATTTTGAAGGAAATCATCCACCTCTAAGGGTGGCTGATCACATGAACATTCATTTTTATAAACAGCGTCTAAATTTTACTTAAGGAGCAATTATTGTAACGGTTGGTTTTGCTATTTCTCCAATTCAAGGCGTTTTTCTCTCAATATACTTTGAGTAGTGAGAACCGATTTCTATTATCTCCTGTGTCAAGTCCTGTGTAGTGGCGAACTAGGAGATATTTCAATAAAGCTTGGCAAATAAATATAATTCCATGTACTTTAGAGGTCGGTTTTTTTAGTACACTGTACTGAGATTATTTCCTGTAGTTTTGTGCAATTTAAATGCAGTTTACTTATTTTGGTCAATAATTTCTTAATTTGTAAGTACATTTTTAACTTCGCAAATGCCGTGCTGTCCTAGCAATGCAAGTTTACTCCTATTGTAATGCAATCACCGGAGGAGAAGCAGGAAAAACTATTTTGATAGGTCAAATGCTTTGGGTATTTACTATCAAATTAACGTTTTACAATAAACAAAATCTCAGTACAGAGTACTAAAACACCGATCTCAAGAGTACTAGAATTACATCTATTTGCCAAGTTTTATTGAAATCGGTTACCGGAAAGTGCGCAAACCCGGATTCATCCCCTAGTTCGCCACTATACGGGACTTGACACAGGAGATAATAAAATTCGGTTCTAACTACTCAAAGTATATTAAGAGAGAAAAACGCCTTGATTTGGAGAATAGCAAAATCAACCATTAAAATAATTGCTCCTTATAATAAAATTTAGGCGCTATTTATAAAAATGAATCTTCGTGTGAACAGCCACCCTTAGAGGTGGATGATTTTCATCAAAATTAAATGGGGCTACTATGGAGGTACCCTCTTTCCAACAAAAAAAGAATCAAGAAAATCGGTTCACAAATACCGGAGTTATTGCGTAACATACAATATGCTAATCTGTAACACGATAGGATATAATTCGCCCGATCATGTAAAATCTTGAAAACAGGCATAACATAAAAGTCTAAAACGAATTTTTGAAGAATAAAATATCTAACTTTTTAAAATTTGAAAATTGTCCAGAGGCTTAACGACGCGCCTCGCCCCCTCTACCCCGTCAGTCGCCATCGGGTGCTTGTGCGGACCAAACTTCTTAAAATGTAGGCTCGCGTTTGAATGAAATTACAGGCACATGGGACTTGTTCGTACCGTCGCTTAGTATTATAAAAAAAACCATTCAAACGTTGTACGGTCTTAATCTCCTTTGTATAATCTTTTTCAGTCTAGTTTTATATTTAAATCCAAAATTTAAATGTGATTGTTTTAGGTGCCTGTTCTGACTTATGTATTCTGTTTTACTTTGACAGCTACGTGTTTTCTAACAAACCGTACTGTTAATGCAATAAGCGTATTAACTTAAATTTTTTCAGAATCTATGAAATACGAATTACTCACTTCCTGTGAAAGATTATTAAAATTCGTGCATAATAATAGTTACTTAAGGCGATGTTATCCTCGTCTTAAGCAACTTCAGAGTTTGTATTATGTGGTTATGCCATAAATAAACTATAAACAATGAGAAACTCACCATCCATAGTGACGTAACAAGTGGAGATGCCGACGCGGCCGCCGGTGCTGGTAGCTACGCACTTCCACTCACCCTCATCCGCCCACTCGGCACAGGACACTTCTAGCAAGTACCCGCCAACGCCGTCTTCAACAATGTGATACCTGAAAATTTAAACACGTGAGATGGGACATCACATATAACCAAACTGAGGATATAGCATAGGTAGTAGCCGTACAGCTCCTTGTGAACGAGTTCGTCCAGGGAACTACTGCCGCCTTACCTATTTCAGCCGTCAAACGGTAATGTTCATTACTGTGTTCCGGTTTGAAGAGTTAGAGTGCTTGTGAAATTACCGGCACGTGGGTCTCAGGGTGACCGCCGCAGTGCCCCTAAGATCTTAACGATTTAAAGCTCTGAGTGGCACTGCAACTGTTATGTATAGGTGTGTCGCTTACTCCCATGCTCTCTAGGGATAAGGATAAAGAGATGTCCAGAAATTATAAAACAAAGAATTTATGTATGGTGGTTTCCCACACCCCGTCTGCGTATAATTTAACTTTGCAATTCAATAATTATACGTATGAGAAGTAGTTATTTATGGACCTTCCGTTTGTAAATTTTTTCCGGTTGCCCTTTTACCGGTAATTTTGACTTGGATTTTTTAAAGTACTTTCTCAATCTGGTTGAGATGTAGGTACTGTGGCCGACTTTCCCTACTCTACTAATGTTCCCTTTCCTATTCTAGTCAGTACATCGAGTATCAAACCACAGTACTCTCTGAATTCACTATTTCTTTCTTTTTTTAACCGACTTCAAAAAAGGAGGAGGTTCTCAATTCGACTGTATGTTTTTATTTTGTATGTATGTTACGCGATAACTCCGGTATTTGTGAACCGATTTTCATGATTCTTTTTTTGTTGGAAAGGGGGTCCCATTTCAATTTGAAGAAAATCATCCACCTCGAAGGGTGGCCGTTCACTCATGAGGATTCATTTTTATAAATAGCGCCTAACTTTAATTTAGGAGCAATTACTTTAATGATTGATTTTACTATTTCTTCAATTCAAGGCGTTTTTCTCTCAATATACTTTGAGTAGTGAGAACCGATTTTTATTATCTCCAGTGTCAACTCCCGTATAGTGGCGAACTAGGGGATATTTCAATAAAACTTGGCAAATACATTCCAAGTACTTTTGAGGTCGGTTTTTTTAAGACTCTGTACTGAGATTATTATGATACCCAGTAATGGGACTAACAAGTCGTGCACCTGGTGGTAAGCGACGCCATTCACCCTGAGACGTAAGTTGACAAGTCCCATGTGCCTGTAATTTTACCAGCACACTTGTCCTTCAAAACAGAAACGCAGTAATGCTCACTTGCTGCTTGGCGGCTTTGAAATACGTAAGGTGGCAGTACTACCCTGAGCCTACTGCTACTAAAATTCTTTATTTTGCCTTAATATCTTACAACGAGCCTGAAATTATTTGATTGAAAAACAGTAAATTAAAAATAATGATGCTTACCTATCACTAGCCTCAACTTTGCCCTCTTTGTTGTACCAAACAACACTGCGAGGCCATGGAGGAACTACGATGTGGCAGCTTAGACTTAGAGGGTTGCTTATTTTCACGAATTGATCTTCTAGTTCTTTCGTGAAAATCGGCGGAGGCTCCGGCGTTACGCTACTGAAAGATCAACAGTAAAGACCTTTATGTCGTGACGTGATGTGAAAAGCTTTTTGCTAACACATCTTCTATGAAAATTATAGGGATGGGAACGGGCAAAATATCGTCGACGACGATCGTTCCCGTTCCCGTCGCGTATACTTGAATACTATGTTTTTGTATGTAACGATATTAACAATAGATCACGCGAAAAATCACGTTACGTATGCTGCGACCTTAACTGTGACTGTAATTTGAATTTCATTTCAATTTTTATGTTCTTTGTCAAAAACTTACACAACACATTATTTATTCGTCAGGACAACTCATTTTCTTCGACAAGGCATACTGTCTTTACACTTTACAAAATGGCGGAATTGGTCGTTACAAAATGGCGGAAATTGTTATAAGAAAACGCGACTCATCAAAATCTAAATCTTTCACAGGTCTCCTGAAGAGTAAAAATGGGTTGAATTTTCCTGTAGTAAGTCAGGTGCATTCTAATGTACACGTGGAACAGACCATAGCTATAGAGTCCGTTGCCACCCATAAGGCAAAAGATTTTGAAGCTGTAGCTAATACATTTAGCTGTAGTAAAAAAAGTAGCAAGCGTGTAGGTTAGAAATCAAATAATATTTCAAGTAATACCTTGCGCTGGGTTTCGCTGAACCCTCTCTACTACGACCGACAACATGTACTTTTGAGGAGGAGTAAGCGCGTCCCATACAATTAACTGCTTCGCAGGTATACGTGCCCAGAGATGTGGGGTCCTCGGCATTGGCTGTTAACGCAAATACATCACCGGCCTTGATTTCTCTACTATCCTGAAATGTGCAAATAAAAAAGACGATTTTAGTAAAAGCCTGCGTAAGCCATGTACGAAGTTTTGTCTAATAATTTTTCCGTCTTCTCATGACATAAATCTTGCAACCATTTTTCGAGTTTATTTTTAAGTTCATACTAATTTAATGTAACGACAAGGCAATAGGAGAAAACCCGTAATGCAATTGCGATGTTAGACACAATATCGTAATAAAATATTATAAAATTGTTACATATTACCTTGAACCAACGTAATACAGGCGTGGGGACTCCAACTACTTTACATTCCAGGGAAACAGTGCCCTGTTCGGTCAATAGGGCGCGTAGCTCCTCCACGAACTCCGGCCGCTTGTACGCTTTAGGCACTGTTGACAAAGAGTACAAAAAAAATTAATAACGGTAATTAACGACCGTTTACGGTAGCTTCGATAACCGAACAGCGGCATGAACAACTTACTGCGATAAATACCAGGCCGATGCAATATCAAATATGCAACGCTAAATAATATACCCTATTGAATTTTTTGCCTATAAAATGCCTATAAAATTTTAAGATTTCCTTCGATTTTCATGGGATCCCCTCATCAGATTCTAACTTATTGGCAATGGGACCACCACGAGAGTGCATCCTTTCAAACAAAAAAAGCATTTTGAAAATCGGTCCACAATCGACGGAGATATCTGAAAACATTCATACAGCCGAACGTGTAACCTCCTCCTTCTTTTTTGAAATCGTTTAAAAAATGTCAGATAAGTACAACATAAACTTCAAAGTTTGCTATTGGTAAATTTATTATGTTTGTAAAAAGTTATGGAACAAAAATTGTTCCCGTATAATTCATTATAACTTTTTTTTTATAACAAACTACTCGGAAAAAACCTACTTCAAAAGTTTGCTTGTCGCATTTTTTATTGGAATTACATTTATTTTCCAAGTTTTATAGACATACGTTAACAGAAAGTGCACGGTTCCAGGTTCATCCCCTAGTATGCCACACTTAGAAGTGGAATAATATGTTCTTCATATTTACGTGGTATACTGAGGTATCCTCTTTCCAACAAAAAAGCATCATTAAAATCGATTCACAAATGCTGGAGAAATCGCGTAACATATAAAAATGCAGTCGAATTCATACACCCTCTTTTTTTTTAAGTCGGTTAAAAAGTAATACCCGACCAAATCAAAAGACAACGTCTCAAGTATGAAGTTTCATTCGCATCAGGTGTCTTCTAATTGCGTTTTGTAAAAAGTCATGGATAGTCAAGTTGTTGTTTATGATGTTTAGCAATATAGTTTTGCGGGGTTGTTAGTGTTTTCAAAGTAACCCTGTATAAAATAATCTCAATACAGAGTACTAAAAAAGCCGATATATTATATATGTATTATATATATGTTATATATATATATACACACATATACATATATAGTTCGCCACTATACGGAACTTGACACAGGAGATAATAAAAATCGTTTCACTACTCAAAGTATACAGAGAGAAAAACGCCTTGAATAAGATAATAGCAAACTGAACCATTAAAACAATTGCTCCTTATAGTAAAATTTAGGCGCTATTTATAAAAAAATGAATCTTCAAGCGTGAACAGCCACCCTTAGAGGTGGATAATTTTCTTCAAAATGAAATGGGACCACTATGGAGGTACCCTCTTTCCAACAAAAAAGAATCGTCAAAATCGGTTCACAAATGGCGGAGTTATCGCGTAACAAAAAACAAGTCGAATTGAGAACCTCCTCCTTTTTTTGAAGTCGGTTAAAAATGATAATTATGTAAAATTACGTATTATTAATCGCACATAACAACTTAATAGTATTATCTCAAAAATTGAATTATATTATATTATTATTCCTATTTAATTTGAAAGTGACAGTGTTGTCCTGTCATTTTGAAATGAAATCGTATACGAATGACATACATTTGTAACGAAATTTTGAGATATAGTCTCAATACAGAGTACTAAAAAACCGACCTCAAAAGTACGTGGAATTACACCTATTTGCCAACTTTTGTTGAAATCGGTTACCGAAAAGTGCGCAAACCCGGATTCATCCCCTAGTTTGCCACTATACGGAACTTGACACAGGAGATAATAGAACTGATTTAGTTCTCATTGCTCAAAGTTAATGAAGGAAAAACGCCTTGAATAAGAGAATAGCAAACTGAACCATTAAAACAATTGCTCCTTATAATAAAATTTAGGCGCTATTTATAAAAATGAATCTTCATGAGTGAACAGCCACTCTTAGAGCAGATGATTTTCTTCAAAATTAAATGGTACCACCATTGAGGTACCCTCTTTCCAACAAAAAAGAATCATCAAAATGGGTTCACAAACAAAGAGTTATCGGGTAACATACATACAAAAAAACATACGCTCGAATTGAGAACCTCCTCCTTTTTTCGAAGTCGGTTAAAAACGAAAACTAGCATGAAATAATATTAATAAAATTGGGTCCCCTTGGCAAGGTGCAGAAAATGCTGGCAGCGTGCCCCCTGTGTATGGCAATGCTTGGGTTTTCCAGGCAAGTTCTTTTTCGTTTGATATTGGGAAGAATTACAAGACTCACCAAGTACATTAAGGTGTGCGGAGCAGCTGGCTCGGCCACCCGCGTTCTCGGCGGTACAAGTCCAGCGGCCGGCGTCGTCGACGCTGACGGTGGCGATGTCGGCGCACCAGAAGTGCCCGTCGCGCACCAGGGCCACCCGTTCCGCTTCCATAAGCCGCCGGTCGTTGCGGTACCACGTCACCTGAAACACGTGAAAATTACTCTCATAATTTTTAATGGCGCTAATATTTAACATAAATAATAATCTCAGTACAGAGTACTAAAAAAACCGACCTCAAAAGTACGTGGAATTACTTTAACTTTAATTAGCAAATAGACATATTTGCTAAGTTTTATTGAAATATCCCCTAGTTCGCCACTATACAGGACTTGACACTGGAGATAATAAAAATCGGTTCTCACTACTCAAAGTATATTGAGAGAAAAACGCCTTGAATTGGAGAAATAGTAAAATGAACCATTAAAATAATTGCTCCTAAATTAAAGTTAGGCGCCATTTATAAAAATGAATCTTCATGCGTGAGCAGCCACTCTCCGAGGTGGATGATTTTCTTCAAAATGAAATGGGACCACTATGGAAGTACCCCCTTTCCAACAAAAAAAGAATCATAAAAATCGGTTCACAAATACCGGAGTTATCGCGTAACATACATACAAAAAAAAAGTACAGAACTCTTAATGCAGATCTTCATTCTTTAACCGACTTTAAACAAAGGACGAGGTTCTCAATTCGACTGTAGGTATGTTTATTTTTTGTATGTATGTATGTATTTTTTGTTGGAAAGAGGGAGGGAGGGAGGGAGGGAGGAATGACTTTTGAGGCCGGTTTTTTAGGACTCTGTACTGAATTTATGGTTTCACCGACTTTTTCGCCGTAGCGCCACCCCAGAGAAATCCATGAAATTTTTTCTTTACTCATCCAGACACCTTTATAATTTTACTAATAACTAAATAATAAAATAAATATTCTGTACATCATTTACTTTTAAAAAAATAAATGTCACTAAAACTATTGGTGCCAACGTCAAAGTAAAACGTTACGAAAAATTGGGGAAGGAAAACCAGAAAGGAAAGGAAAAATATTTATTAAACGCCATTGTGTATAACCTGTATTGTGTATCAAGGATGTTGTTGTTGATGGATTTCTTTTTATACATATCAGCGAATGTTGATTGTATGTATTTAAAAAATCGCGAAAAATGTACATTCTCACAGAATCTATCTACATGAAAAAGTTTTCTATTTAACAGACTTCAAAAAAAGGAGAATGTTCTCAATTAAGCTGCACGTTTCTTTCTGTATGTTACGCGATAACTCCGGTAAGTATAAAGTTGTGAAGCCATTTTAATGATTCTTATTTGATTGAAAAGAGGGTACCTCATTAGTAGTTCCATAAAATTTGAAGAAAATAATCCACCTCTAAGGATGGCAAACTAAAGGATGAATGACTTTTCAGGTCGGTTTTTTTAACCGATGTCAAAATGGAGAAGGTTCTCAATTCGACTGTATGTTTTGTTTTGTATGTATGTTACGCGATAACTCCGGTATTTGTGAACCGATTTTCATGATTCTTTTTTGTTGGAAAGGGGGTTCTTCCATAGTGGTCCCATTTCATTTTGAAGAAAATCATCCACCTTGAAGGGTGGCCGTTCACGCATGAAGATTCATTTTTATAAGTAGCGCCTAAATTTGACTTAAGGAGCAATTATTTTAATGGTTGATTTTGCTATTTCTCCAATTTTAGGCGTTTTTCTCTCAATATACTTTGAGTAGTGAGAACCGATTTTTGTTATCTCCAGTGTCAAGTCCTGTATAGTGGCGAATGTAAGGATATTTCAATAAAGCTTAGCAAATAGACGTAATTCCACGTACTTTTGAGGTCGGTTTTTTAGTACTCTATACTGAGATTATTAGTTTTTGGGGTTGTTTGATTATGTGACATTTATTAACAAAAGAATTCAAGCTGCTTAGCTTAATCATTATAAAATTTTGTCTAAGTTATATTCTGAAAACAACATCTGAGCACACAGAAATCTAAATAATTAGATTGTGACAGGTCTGCTTTTTCAACTAACAGTCTGTTTCTGGAAGTTTAGTAAGTAATTCCAGCGTGCCTTTTAGGTCATGCCACGGCTCAAATGTTCGCAATGGATATCAGCATCGATAAATGTGCGGATATTTGCAACAAGCCTATTGTGTACGTATAAACAAAGTTCTATTTCTATGGACAATTTTGTATTTATACAACATCAATAGGGAATCCCTATTTATCCGCTCACGCGATGCGCTCCTCCTACCGCAAAATGGCGGCTATTTGGTTTCGCAAATTAGAAAAGCATTCAGTTTAAATACAAGTTTTTATAAATAAATATTATTATTCTGCATTACTCAATAAATACCCTTCGTACTACCAACAAAAACATCTCAAATAAAATGCAATGCAAAGTAATACACCGCAAATCCTGCACTTAAAAAGCACTAATGAAATTTTTGGTGTACTTGGATAAATATGATAATATTCCGTTTGAGTGGTTCTAACGTTTACCATGAAATTCCTCCTTAAAGTACAGTTTATAAACATTTATATTCAAGGTAAACTTAAAAAACGCTACTTACGGTATGTTTTCAATAAATAAACACCAAAATCACCAGCCCAAACAATAACACACACGATTGTCGTGACGTATTTTTGAAGTTGTTTATTTTTTTAAATGACAGACCCAGGCATTAAAAACATTATGGTTTGCTAGAGTAGTTACCGAAATAACAATTAATATTAGTTCTTTTACCTGTTATAACTTCGATATCCGATAAATCGGTATAAAATCATCACCGGCACCTCTAGGGTGTGGTATGCGTCTACGGCTGCATGTATCGCGTGAGCGGGTAGTTAAAAAACTTCGCATAAGCGTTTAATAATAGAGCGTTCACTTGCATGATGTAATTTATGATATTCGCTTTGCATAAATCTTCTTCGACCCTGAAATTTAGGCTAGACTTGATCTTACTGAGCTTCGCTTGGAAAATGAAACTTAAATTCAAATAATCTCCGATAAAGAACAGTGTACTCCATAAAAAATCCTTGGTAGCCTAATGGTTTGACCTTTCAGGCAAAAGCCGCTAGTTCGAATCCGGGCTTGCACCTCTGAGTTTGATATTTAATTTGAAATTTACCACGAGCTTTCCGGTGAAAGAAAATGTCGTGATGAAACCTGCACGTTGAAGAATGTTCACAACCCTCAGAAAACGTGTAAAGTCCCCAACCTGAATTGAGCCAGGGTGGCGGACTATGGCCTAAACCCTCGCCTGGGGGAGACCTGTGCCCAGCAGTGTAACGTACAAATGGGTTGGTGATGATGATGACTCCAAAAAGTCAATAAAGTTATAGTATTTTAGCAACTCGTCGAAACCACTTCTTTACGTGATCGGTAAAAAACTCTATATGCCAAATAGTAATTTTTACAACATAGCATTTTAAAGAGAATGGCTCTTAATATGGCATCTAGAATCAATTAAGGTCAAGTTAAATAAAAAAATAAACGACGACTTAACGTCCTTTACCATTGCGCGATTATTAGCAACTGCATTGGCGAAATCGCCATTTTTTTTTTTGTATCATTTTTATAATAATACTCAACTACCGTACATAGTTATTTTTACTTGACATTGGCGAAATCATCGATTATTTCGATGGGGCCATAACATTTAAAAGAAGAAAAAGAAGCAACTGCACGAAAAAGTATTCAGCGCGATTGTCGCAGCAACTTCCACCGCGTTCGGGGAGTAGCGTAGTAGAGTAGTAGAGGTATTGTATGGTATTGTATTTATAATTTTATCAATTTTCATATTTTATTCACTTTTGTAATTAAATTAAGATTGATTGTACATTTAGCTTTAAGTCTTACTATTGCGTTTGGGTTGTGTATGTAATAAATAAATAAATAAACTGTAAGCAATATGTAATAAATAAATAAATAAATAAATAGCAAATTAATTTACTTCCGTTGTTATTGAATCTATTAAGTAACATTTTAAAAAGCGAGATTTTCATTTATTAACCGACTTCAAAAACAAGGAGGAGGTTCTCAATTCGACTGTGTTTTTTGTTTGACTCTAAAGTCCACTACCATAACTCCAGTGGCAGGTTTGTGTCCAGACCCGGGCGGCGTCGTGGTGAATGTTCACTGATTCCACGGCGCCGACTCAACCGGCGAGAGGGAAACCCGGGGGGGTTTTAGTGGGGTAGGCCTTCCAGTGTGGAGGGAGAGTCCCCACATAACCCCTGAGTCTCCCTGGGCTCAGGGGTATCCATAAAGATTACCCCCCGTCAAAAAAAAAGTTTTCTATTCTATTCTATTTTATTTCAACGTCCGATTTGTATACATAATGTTACTTCTTCTAGAGGCGCTGTATAATTTGTCATACAAATTGTGAAATATGTTTCGAGGTCGCTGCCGACAATTACCAATGTAGATAGGACGACCTCGATGTGCATACCTCAATCAGATGGAGGATGTCCTTAGAAAAAGCCTTGAGACTGGCACCAACAAGAAACGAATATATAAAACACCCAATGCTAGTGGAGGAAACGAAAGGTATGTCGCACATAAAGGTATGTATGTCAATAGCTTCTGCCTACACCGGCTGGAGACAGACGTAATGGTACATAATAGTATTTTTTTATAAATATAAACCAAGTGACTGGTGGTAAGCGTCACGCCTATCCATAACAGTTGCTGTGCCACTCAGAGCTTTAAATCGCAAAGATCTTAGGACCTAGTAAGCATGAACACTACTGCTACTACGTAGTAGAGTTTGTACGTATTTCCAGTGTAAACTGACACTCGTCGTCATTAGTGACCATAGCAAAACTATATTTGACAAGGCCTATGTGTACTGGTACATAATACTTGATAAATGACAATAATATAACACCAGTAAATTGGTGTGGCAAACGATGAATTTATAAATAACATATATATTTTTTTTATGATATCGAGAGACGAAGCGAATAAGTGACACTTCCCACTCAGTTTTAAATCGCAAAGTCCTGCTGTTATCCATAATATAACAAGGCAAAGTTAATTAGGCAGAAAATCTACGATTAATTATACAATTACCCAGAGGAGAGCATTTGTTTACACCGCAGAATCTCAAAACACACGCACATGTGTGCGTATCCTAAAACAGATCACGAAAACAACGGATGTAGTTAAAATAGGCAAATTATGTCATTCCACCTCTGCGCGTACGCATTCTCGCGTCAAGGTCCGCTTTTCTCGTGATGGTGAATTTTTAGGGTGACAGTGATATGTGGCCAGCAGAAATCGTGTTTGTAAAATATGAGTAACTCGAAAACCGAATAGATTTTTCTTTTAAATACAGATTATTTTTTATGTTCACTTTTATGTGTGCAGTCATATTCTACTAAGGACAACGCAACATTATCAGCTAAATTTGATAAGAAAAGTCCACCGTATCAAATCCATACTGAATTTACAATCAATGCCATAAAATGTCACATTATCGCGGGAATAGAAGAAGCAGTAACAATATGTTAATTTAAATAATACCACACCAACGTATCGCATAATAAGGCACTGAACACATGCTCTTCTTAGTTTAACATTTACACTGATCTAAGAGCAATTACACACGGCGACGTCTGCAGCGCTTCAGTCGCGTTGCAATAACAATGCAGTCTCTAATCCTCTACCTTTAAATACACGCGTCACTTAAGCAGCGATATAATCGCGATGCAATCGCATTGCACGTGGTTAATTATTCATCATAAGCAACGGCATCAATGCAATCTCGCGTCAAATGCGTTTGTATCGCCGCTAAAAGTCACCGTGTGTAACCGCTCTTAAGACCATATTTATAAAGAATACGGTCTAAGATGTAGCAGAGTTAATCATAGAAATCTTGAATGATAGCTAAGAGATGTATAGGGAATTAAATAAAAAAATCCGAAAATAAATTGCGTAGGTATATTTGTTTTTTTAAACAAACCAACGTTTAGGGCCCTTTACAGGTCTCATTGTCACGGCTGACTGAGATGGTAAATTTGACTGTTTTCTCAGAATGGGAGGCACCCACGCGGGTCCAATACGGATTGAGAACTTCACACACAACATTAAATTGCTTTGCAATGTTGCATAAATGTTTCCTCACCATCCCAACTAGCACACAAGCTATATAACCTATAAGATGTATATTAGCTTTTTAAGGGATTTACTATAATACTTAAGTTCTTCAGTAGCATATTCAAAAGTAATTAAACAGGCAAGTCGTCCAATAGCCATAGTATTAAGTTAGTATTTTACCGAGTGGTTTAGCAATATAATAGAACATCAATACTCCGCTTTAAAACCTTGGACTCTTAAAAGAAGACACTAACTGCTGGTGTAGGGGAACATGGGGTATTGGGCGCCCGCGGGTAATGAGAACAGTGTTAAACTGGACTTTCCCAATGCTCGTATTTGTGCAAACGGCACTCCTAAGTCTTCGTTAACGTTCGGCAAGGTTCGAGTCCCTTAGACGCCCCCTTAGAACCCCACGTTTAGTCGTATGAGATGATTGGACGTTTTTCACTCCGCGCTTATAAAATTTGCTAAATTTCATCATCCCAGGTAAGCATTAAAATGCATAGATACTACATTGTATTTACACTAGCTATGTCACCATATCTATCAAATTTTAGAAGTTATGCTTGAAGTCACAATAAAATAGAAATGTTTTTACTGTTTTATTCCTTTTTCAATTCGATGTTACGCGGGTAATGAGAGCTATGTGGCTCTCCTAACCCTATTGCAATATTCACTGGATATTCCTTTTGCACTTCCTTGTTTATTCATTATTAACTAAACTGACTAACTAACATTAACTGCCTCCGTGGCCGAACGGTTACCATGCCGGACTGCCACGCAGAGGTCCCAGGTTCGATTCCCGGGCCGGGAGAAATGTTTGTATGCCCTACATTTGTTTCTCTCGTGAGTTTGGGTGTAATTTGTGGCTGTCTATATGTGTGTCCATGGCACCCGCGACACAGGGTTTCCCTAGTGCGGGGCTATGTTGAGTGTGTGCGTTATTTATTATTTATTTTATTTATTACTTTTTAACTTATATATTTTAATACTTTAATTTTTTTCAGACTGATTATATATAATGGCTCCCATTTGACATACAGGATTCTTACCGGCTCCCATTTCCCGAACTATGGGGTAATGAGAGCGAATGACATGTTTTAGTTTTTTCTGTTTTAAGCAAATATTTTATTTTAGTTTCATATTTTTTCTGTGATTATCTAGTACCCAGATATGTGAAGCGTACGTTCATAACTAATAAAAATTTAAATTTCATAAATTGTGACTTTTATTGTCAATTTTCCTTAGTAGGCTCCCATTCCCCCACGCTCCCCTACTTCTAAAAACGTACCACAGCGCGTCAATGCCATGTTATTAAGAACTTCTAACCGGCTATTGTACGGCTTGTTATTAGAGCTTGTGTGCTAGTTGGGATGTTTTCCTGCCCCGAAAAGCTCATGGTCAATTTTAAATTTAATTTCGCACATAAATTCCGAAAAAACTCAGTGGTGAGGGAGAGGCGGTACGTCAAACTATTAGGTTACCACGGCTTCCAATTACAATTAGGTTTTACCCATTGACTTACAAATAAATGGACGACGGGTCTAATACAAAAACCACGAAAAAAATGTCCCAAGTCAACCTATTTAAACGTAGTGACATGTAAAGGAATATGAAAAAGCTAAAACGTTGAATTTAAATTGTAATGTCATCGCAGTACTGTCTAATTTTGCTTGCTTCTAGTCTTAGTTGCTGTTAGTCGAACAAACGAAGACTAAAGCGTGAGTGACGCTCTGTATACGATTTTAATGCCCTATAAGTTCGGACACTTTTTAGCGCGGACCCGACGTCCATATAATTGTAAGTCATTGGTTATTATAGTAAATTTTGTAGGAGCAATAGAGGTCCTTGTGATAGAATTCGTACTGCGTTACCTATTTCTGCC